TTTTTTTGGTCAGTTGTGGGGTCTGGGCCTGGGCACTGTCCCTCAGCTCTTCAGCTCAAGGCTAGCACTCTACCACTTGTGCCACAGCGCCACTTCCAGCTTTTCTGCTTATGTGGTGCTGAGGAATTGAAACCAGGGCCTCATTCATGCTAGGCAAGCACTCTTCCACTGAGCCACCCTGGGCAGAACTTTCTGTATGCCCAGAACAAGTCTCTCTTGGCATACCACAGTTCACCCACCTTTCCTGCATGATGGGGTTGTTCCAGAGAGGACACTGTGACACAGTCTCTGTGCACAGACTCCTCTAAGGAGCCATTAGCTTTGTGATATATGTGCCCCTGCCTCTAGAATAAAATAAAAGTCTCTCACATAACAGTATGGGACACATCCTCACTACAAAGCTGAAAGTTTCTGAGTCCTCAATCTCATCTCCAAGTCTGAGTTCTTATCTGCACTTAGCTAATATTCAGCTAATATTATAAAGCAGCAAGACTAGGCTGTCTCCAATCCCTGGCTGCTGTGTCATCATGCTGTCACTCCCACCGCACTTCTACTACTTCTACAGGTCTAGGAGTCCCTGGTGCAGTGCCATGTTTTTAACGCAGATGAGCCTGAAGGATATAAGACTAAGTGAAATATGCCAAGTCCAATCATCTTTCTCATTTATCTTGCTAAGCCTAATATTACTATTTTAGATTCTCAAATAGTCTTCAATTGATGTGTGAGTCTATGTATGTTTCTTCCAACCCATACACCTTTTTGTGCCCTCCTCATTTACTATCCAGTGTTGGAGGGAAGATGACAACAGGCTTTATGTGCTGTTCTCTCATCTCAATGACAAATCTTTCATGGTTCTCCCAAATGTGGTATTACTTGATGCTTTCCATAGCAATTAACAAAATATATACAATGTCTTGAGAACTGTGCGGGACAAACTGATGCTAAATTTTATCAAACCTAACAGGTTTCATAATGTTAAATGTAATTGAAAATTGTTATTGAATTGAATCCCATGATTCACTCACTCATTCTAACCATGTCATTCTTTCTGTAGATGTGCTGTGTGTCTGAACCTAAAGATATCATGTACATGCAATCTATGACCTGTGGCACAATGTATTCCTCTGCAGGCATAGTGAGTTCTGTTTGTTTTTTTATCCCTTGATATTAAAAATAGGATTATAATTTGCATTTGAGTCACTGGACAGATTATGTGCAACAGAAAATAATTTAGAGAGTGTATTTATTTTCCTCTCCTGATTAGAATAATATACATGAATGTGGAATGTTGTTTTTTTTGGGGGGGGGGAGTCCGGGCCTGAGCACTGTCCCTCAGCTCTTCAGCTCAAGGCTAGCGCTCTACCACTTGAGCCACAGCACCACTTCTGGCTTTTTTCTATTACTTATGTGGTGCTGAGGCCTCATGCATGCAAGGCAAGCGCTCTACCACTGAGCCACCTTCCCAGCCCTTGAAATGTTTTTATTTTAACCAACAAATAATCACATGTATTTATAGGGTAAACGAGACATTCCCATACGTATGTACATAGAATGATCAAATCAGGATAGTGAGAATATTACCTAAAATAGTTATTATTTCTAGATGGTGAGAATATTTCATATATTCTTTGTATACTATTAAATATTATATTTTATATATTCTTCATAACTACTTTGAACTATACTACACATTATCAATTATAGTCATCTTACTATGCAATAAAACACTAATAATTTCCTTAAAGAAGGCCGTTCAAATTCCTCTTTCCCCTGTGTCATTTTCATAACTATCTAGGAAATGCAAAATGTTCATAATTTTGCAAACTTATTATCATAAAATAATTAGCCATATTCTCTTAAAAGTCGGCAAACATTTTTTTAAATCTACACACTCTCACATTTCAATGCAGAATGGAGCTATATGAAAATGTCATCCATGGAAGTGGCACTGTAGCTCAAGTGGTAGAGCACTCGCCTTGAGCTGAAGAGCTGAGGGACAGCGCCCAGGCCCAGAGTTCAAGCCCCAGGACCGACAAAAAAAAAAAAGAAAATGTCATCCATTAACACTCAGGTCAATAGAAAGCCACAACTACTGCAACCTGACATTAGGTGGCTTAGTGAAGGGAAGGGAATGTATTTCGGGGACTGCTGTATGACAGCTGAGATGACCAATAGGACTTCTGTAACATAAATGCTACCTTGTGGACAACTGCTGCCTCTAAAGGAAGTCACCTCATTTTTCAAGGATGGAGAAAGCTCACAAAGCCACTTGCACTTTGGCTATTATAAATCAAACTCCAAAGAGAATACTAGCAGGGAATGTTCTAAATTGCCTTTGGAAATCAGAGAGCACTGCAATCCCCTAGGAACATTCCCACCAGCACTCTGACAGTGCACAGCCTACACACAGACCCCACAACAGGACGTCAATACCATGGCACGTCAGCGTCTATGTATGGAAATGAAGGAAGAATTCAGACACATGAAACTATTACTAAGCCAAATTTTTGTCTCAAGGTAATTTAAGTACAATGGGGTAGTCAAAACTCCCCTCATTTAATTGCATTGAAATGAAACAAGTGGCCCTAGCAGGAAACTTTGTGTGTTGCCTAATCAGAGAATGCAGGTGCTGCCACACAGGCGACAGAACATTCTCGTACACACTTGGCCCAAGTCCCATGCACCAGACAGAGCCATATACATCCCTGGAAAGCATGACCCAGCACAAGGCTGCCAGGGCTGCTGGAAATGCATAACAATGCATTACCACAAGGAAGCAGTGTTCAAGGTGCAGAGTGATGGCCCCTCCTACTTACACCCTTCCCACTCCAGTGCTCAGTCAAGTAACACAGTGTGAAAGATGAGATGTCACAAAGCGAACATGGCCTTTCCTTTGTGGAAAAAAAACTGACCTGTGACACTCAGGTGGAAGGAGACCTTCTGGCCCCTGGCCTCGCAACTGTACTCCCCGGCGTCCGCCTTGCCCGCCTGCTGCACCACCAGCTGCCGCATGCAGCCTGACGCCTCCACGCGCACCTTCGAGCTGGAGCTCAGCTTCTTCCCGTCTTTGTACCAGGTCACCTCTGTCTGCACCTGGGCCACCTCGCAGCTCAGTGTGGCACTGGCCCCCGCCTCAGCCTTCACCTCGCTTTTTGCCTGTTGCTCCTTAGCAAAAACCATCTTGGGCTCTGGACACAGACAAGGGAATAAGGCAGTAATCCTAGCTACTCAGGTGGCTGAGAAATGAGGATAATGATTCAAAGCCAGCTTGGATAGGAAAAGTCTATGAGATTTATTTTTTATTTTTTTTGGGGGGGTCTGGTCATGGGGCCTGGACTCTGGGCTTGGGTGCTGTCCCTCAGCTCTTCAGCTCAAGGCTAGTGCTCTACCACTTGAGCCACAGCGCCACTTCTGGCTTTTTTCTTTACACTTATGTGGTGCTGAGGATTCAAACCCAGAGCTTCATGCATGCAAGGCAAGCACTCTAACACTGAGCCACCTTCCCAGCCCCAGTCTATGAGATTTTTAACTCCAATTACCCACAAAAATCCAGAAGTACAACTGGCTCAGTGGTAGAGCTCTAGCCTTGAACAAAAAGAACTCAAGGACGGTTCTCAGGCCCAAAGCTCAAGCCCCAGTACTGGCACAGAGACAAGAAAGAAACAGAGACAGAGATATCAGAGAGAAACTATAGAATAGATCCAAATTCTTCAGTGTCTAGAGCTCACCTGAGCCCAATCAGGCTAGTCCTGATTAGCAGAGCACTGCATGACAATGCACATGGCTCTAAGCTATGTGTGGCCCACTATGATGTTTCATAGCTGTGTATGGAGAAGCCTGGGGTACTCAGCCCTCATCACCCCCGAGCACCCAGACTCACCCAGCCCAGACGACCTGCTGCAGCCTGTGTGGTCACAGAAGCCTGGCCTGCCCCTGACAAGGCCACCATCCTGATCTTTGCAGACAGGATCCTGACTCTTCCTTGCCTCAGATTTCCCATAGCCCACAGACCGCCAATGACCTACCAACTCTTTCCCACCATTCAGGGGCCCCGGCAAAAGGATAAAGGAATGTCTATCCTCAGCACCAACAAGCAGCACATATCTTTCCTGGCCAAGGCTATAAAAGGAATATCAGAGAGCAGAGTCCCATCCTGGGCCAAGAGGGAAGAAGACTGAACTATGGTAGCTCCTTTCCCCAGGCAGAGAGGAGGCAGACATACAGAGATGGATGAGTGGGAACAACACAGACCCAAGCAAGGGCTTGCAGATATCTGGAGCTGGGTTAAAAGGGCATAGTGAGCTTTTACCACCTGCATGTCACCCCACTACACAATGCCCCATGACCTCAGCGTTAGAGACAGCAAGGTGCATACCATGGTGAGCTTGGACCATAAGCCTGCTCTGGTTTCCTGACAATGGCACAATGGCCTAGAGCCACTGAGCAAAGCTGAAGACATGGATGATGAAACCCAAGGACCTAAGTGGCCTCTGCTGCCTAACATGGCCTATTTTATATGCACCACTGAGAGCTCCTCCCCATTCAACCCAACCCTGTCACCCACCTGTGACACCCAGATGGAAGGAGACCTTCTGGCTCCCAGCCTCGCAGCTATACTCCCCGGCGTCCGCCTTGCCCGCCTGCTGCACCACCAGACGCCGCGTGCAGCCCGACGCCTCCACGCGCACCTTCGAGCTGGAGCTCAGCTTCTTCCCGTCCTTGTACCAGGTCACCTCAGTCTGCGCCTGGGCCACCTCGCAGCTCAGTGTGGCGCTGGCCCCTGCCTCAGCCTTCACCTCGCTTTTTGCCTGCTGCTCCTTGGCAAACACCACCTTGGGCTCTGGACATAGACAAGAGCATCAGAGAATACACACTAGACCTAGCCAGTGATGACCAAGGCAGCACTAACCATGATTTGCAGAGTGTTTTGTGAGAGTACACAGAATTCCAAACTCTATATGATCCATGCTGTACACTCTGCATCTGTGTACAGACAAGGTGGAGATAGCCAGTCCTCAAGACAACCTTGAGAATCCCAAGCCCACACAAGCCTGTGCATGTAAGCTGTTACAGCGTGAGAGCACACTGCAGCAGTCCAGCCTCCTGAGAACACCAGCTTCCTGATCCGTATGAACAGGATCCTGACCCTCCCCACCAGACCACCACTGTCCCCTGCCCCTCTGTCCCACCACTTAAGGCCACAGACAGCAGGACTCAAGTTGGAAGGGACGACTACCCTCAGCACAAACCAGCAGCATGTATCTTTCTTGATCAAAGCTATAGAAAGGGATCAAGGGAACAGAATGCCAGCCCTGGTCAGGAAACAGTTGGCTAAGCCCTGGTGGCTCCTTTCCCCAGGCCAAGGGATAGGGTAGAGAGGCAGGCGCACACAGGTGATCTTGTAGGAACACCATAGGCTCAAACAGGGTTATAGAACTCTGGAGACCAAGCCTCAAAACTGCCTGTGGTTATCATACAATCCACATGACTACCACACTGGTGTTATCAGAGTGCACACCACAGTGAGCTCAGCCTGTCCACTTGCTCTGGTCTACTGACAATGGTCTAGGCCAGGAAACCTCTAAGCAAAGCTGGAGGCATGGATGCTAAGACCCAGGAACACTGGGACCTTTTGGCTGCCCAAGCTGCCTGGCATGCTCTTAGTTTCTTGTACCTGCCACTGAGGGTGCCCCCTTATTCAATCCAACCCTGACACCTACCTGTGACAGCCAGGTGGAAGGAGACCTTCTGGCCCCCGGCCTCACAGCTATACTCCCCGGCGTCCGCCTTGCCCGCCTGCTGTACCACCAGCCTCCGCGTGCAGCCCGACGCCTCCACGCGCACCTTCGAGCTGGAGCTCAGCTTCTTCCCGTCCTTGTACCAGGTCACCTCCGTCTGTGCCTGGGCCACCTCGCAGCTCAGTGTGGCGCTGGCCCCCGCCTCGGCCTTCACCTCGCTTTTTGCCTGCTGCTCCTTGGCAAACACCACCTTGGGCTCTGGGGACACACAGGAGGAACACATGGTCAGAGATACTGACTAGGTATGACCACGGCTAGGGGACAGAATATTTTCTAGGTACTGTACCAGCTGTTGTGGTCAGACAAGTGCCAACACCTCTCAGTGCAAAGTGCATAGTATATCCATATATCTTGCCACTGTTCCCTGGTTCTGTTCAGAGAGAACACTGGCCCAGTCTCTGTACACAGGCTCCTCCAATGAGCCACTAAGGTCAGGATGCATGTGTTCTTGTCCCTCCACAGCAAGGTAGAGTCTCCCAGAGGCACGTCCTCACCACAGGGCTCACAGTCCCCAAGGCCCCACACTGATGCTCTAGGCACCATCAGCGGCTGTCTCTGGGGAAAGCCCAGACAACCCAAGGCTCCACAGCCATCGAACACCATCTGGGGCTCTGCCCTCGTGAGTTAACGCTGGTCCCCAAAAGTGGGCTGGGTCTTGCAGAGTGCACTGGGCCCTGCAGTAGTAATGTGTTCTTTCAAGAGCAGACTGCTATAAACTTCCATGCATTTGGCCCCTTCTGAACATGGCACGCTCCCTCTCTGCTTTTTCACCATGGTGTGGAGCTAAGATCCCCACCAGCACCCCAGCACCATGCTATGTACAATCTTCCAGTCACCAGAACAATAAGCCAAATTTACTTCTTTCTCATTCACCCAGCCTTTTGTTATTGCAACACAAAGCAGATTAAAACACATGTCTTCTAATTTAGCTGCTATTCGTTATAATGTAGTCAGACGTGTACTCTGGATACACTGTAATTAGTCTGCTTGTTCCCCATAAGAAATCTTGCCTTATTCAGCAACCCATGTCATCAACTAAGAGTATTAATGGTGTACCTGGGGTGCTGAGATCTCTAATTCACCTGGAATTAACCTCTATATATAGCTTTTTGTTTCCATGTTGTGTACTCTCCACATAAAACATATTTGTGAGTGTATCTTTTTGTTCTATTCTTAATATTTCCACAAATGTGGGCACTTGCTTTCCAGTATATTTGGTATAACTTATCAATAGAGCCACTGAACTTACAGATTTCTCTATAAAGAAGGTTTTCTTTTTTAATTTCTGGTTACATTTCTTTAGATGTTATAGGACTATTTGTCTATTTCTTCTTAGTTTAAGAAACTGCTCAATTTGTCAAAAATTTCCAAATTTACTACCGTAAAATTTTGTCAATCTCAAAATAACATTTTAGAAAGATGCCTAGTAGGCTGGAATCCTACACAACCACACACCATTCATATAGATGCCACCCCTAGCTCTGTGCTGGTACTTGGGAGGCTCCCTCTCTCTCTCTCTCTCTCTCTCTCTCTCTCTCTCTCTCCCTGTCTCCCTCTCTCCCTCTCTGTCTCTCTCTCTCTCTGTCTCCACATATTACATATATATACTCTCCAGATTTAGTTCTCAGACCTTGGGCTCTGTGAATCACATCAGATGCACCGACACACACAACTAACTAGGAATCTTTATGAATGTATTGTTTGACCAGTTAATGGTTACTACTGTACTAACTCATCTTGAAGAGTTTGAACTACTACTTACTTCTTTCCAGCTCAAAATGTATAAACTTATTTGAGGAATTTCGGACTATGCTTTAACTAAAGGCAAAAGAAAAATGAGATTTTCCTTAAAGCTACAGTTTCCAATCCCCAGGTGAGCACAGGTACACATCATACCAATTCTTGGTTTGCTTTGCACAAACATCAAAGAAATCATGGATCTAGATTTTTCTCTATGTAGTGAATGCACTGAGAGAACTTCCATCTCTCCAGGAAAAGACAGAAGAACAGCCCAAAACCTTAACTTTGACAACCCACAGTTCATCCTTTGTATAATTCCAAGGATGATTATGAGGCCAAAATGTCTTCCTCCTCTGACTGAAACAAATTCAAGGATCTTCCTCAAATGAGCATCCCATGTGGTTCTGGGACACTTAGGTCACAAGGCCAAAAGCAGCAAAAGTCTTAGACAACAAATTAACACTAGGAGGGTTCTCAGCAGGTGTTCATGATGAATGGCTAATCACAATTACATAGAAACATCACTCCAACTGCATGAGAAGAGCCTCCCTGGGATCAGCCACAGGAATAAAAATGAGAGACAAAGGAAAGGAGACTATAAAAGGAAGTCTAACATAGAACATACTCGTCTATCTGGGCCATCACCCAGGCTCACATCACCTTGAAACAAAGTGAACTTTGTGTGCCAAACACTGACCTGTGACACCCAGATGGAAGGAGACCTTCTGGCCCCTGGCCTCACAGCTGTACTCCCCGGCATCCACCTTGCCCGCCTGCTGCACCACCAGCCTCCGCGTGCAGCCTGACGCCTCCACGCGCACCTTCGAGCTGGAGCTCAGCTTCTTCCCGTCCTTGTACCAGGTCACCTCCGTCTGCGCCTGGGCCACCTCGCAGCTCAGTGTGGCGCTGGCCCCTGCCTCGGCCTTCACCTCGCTTTTTGCGTGCTGCTCCTTGGCAAACACCACCTTGGGCTCTGGGGACACATGGGAGGAACACATGGTCAGAGATGCTGGGTAGCTCAGGCTTTCTCCAGGTCCTGCATCTGCTGTATGCCCCAGTGCTCCTTGGTACAAGCCTCCACAGTTTATCCACACATCCTGTCCCTGCTCAGTGGCTCTGTGCCGGGGAACACTGTGACACCATCTCTGTGCACTGATGCCTACAGTGGCTCTCCAGTGATCTGTCTTGATGGTGCACAGGGTTAAGAACTTTGGCCATTTATTGCCATAGTGTTTACTCCTCACATATCACTGTTCAAGATGACCTTCGTTTTCACTAGTAATGTCTGGGTTTTAGGTCCTTCTTCATTTCAATACCAGCGTCTTGCCAGTTACATGCATTTAACACTCTCCCTCTCTATGTGCCTTAATCTTTTACTCTGTTATGGTGTCTTTGATGAAATAAATTTGAGGGGGGAGGTGTTTTTGGTTTTTTACTTAGGAAATCATATTAACTGATTCAGGGTGAGCAGTGCCTTTTTGTTCTGGTTATGAAACCATTCATTATAAGGAAGTGCCTAAATAATCTGTATAACTAGTTAAGACCTACTTTCTTTACTGAAGTGGCTGATGCAAGTGTTACTGACTCTCACCTAGGGCCTCAGAGAGACATAGAAGGCTATTTTTTTTACACATCAGTGATGACCTCAGCACTGCTCAATGAAGACCACCCTCTTCTTCCTCCCATAGTCACACACTGGTCCAAAATCGTATGTTTTAATTCTGACTTGGGATAAAATTAAATCTTCTATGGTTTCTAATTCCTTCAAACTTCCATCCATTTATCTCAAAACATTTTAATAATTTCCTCCACTGGGCTATCATTTGTTGGACCTAGAATATGAAAAACAATGGTTTTCAAGCTTCTGTAAATCTTTAAAATTTTTATTTTTCAGTGTTTACTGTTAGTATATGGATAAACATTGTGTTTGCGTGTGTGTGTGTGTGTGTGTGTGTGTGAATCATACCAGTGAGTCAATCCATCAATGCCCTCAGTATCTAAAGGGGAGGAAGATGGGCTCCAGTGCACCCTCAGAAGCCACTTTGGGTTCTCAATTTCTTCATATAAAATGTCATAGTATAGGCTAGGGGTAGGTAGCTCATATCTGAAACTCTAGGTGAGATTTATATATAAGGTGATCTTTCCTGAGACTTTCAAGTTTAATAAGTAATCTTTTGGATTTTTAAACTGTTAAACTTATGATCTATAAACCTCACTCTTGGTATTCTCAATCTTACACCTCTATGTTACTCCTATGACTGTGTTGTACACTAGGAAGGGGCAGTGACAGAGGGCTCCTCTTCCTGTCCCTATCTGAGGCAAATCCCTCACCTAAGGCAGACTGTCAACCAGTTTCCCAAAATAGCAACCACTGTTGATACTTTGCAAAGCTTTTTAGTGTGTCATGAATTGATACTAAATTTTGTCAGATATTTTCCAGGACACTAATCCTAAATTATATCAAGCCTTTTCCTGCCTTTATTGAAATAGCTGTGTACTTCTCTTATAATCCATCAACAGACATCACTGTGATGTTCTGTGTTTCTAATGTTAAATCAACTACACCTTCATAAGCTGGTCCTTATGTGTTGAGTAAAGTGTCAACATTGTGCTTAGCCTGTATTCTAGCTTAGCCTGTAACTTTAGTTCTGCCTAATTCTTGGTAAGATTTTGAAAATCATCCCATACTGTCTACATAAGATGAATTGGAGGGCTGGGAAGGTAGCTCAGTGGTAGAGTGCATGCCTTGCAAGCACGAGGCCCTGGGTTTGATTCCTCAGCACCACATAAACAGAAAAAGCCGGAAGTGGCGCTGTGGCTCCAGTGGTAGAGCGCTCGCCTTAAGCTGAAGAGCTGAGGGACAGTGTCCAGGCCCAGAGTTCAGGCCCCAGGACCGGCAAAAACAAAAAAAACAAAAAGATGAATTGGAAACCATATCTCCTTTGTCTTACTCACCATCCGCATGGGATTTTTGGAATAATTTACTAGCAGAATCACTGTGCTTATCCTTTCTCTATGAAAAGTGTTTTCTAAAATACTGCTTCCACTTATTTGAATATTATGGGACAACAGTTCAAGTTTTCTATCACTTCTTTGTCAGTGTTGGCATAATTACATAGGAATTGACATAACTTGTCAATTTTTGCTATAAAATGGTTTGTTATACATCTTCTCCAAATAATGTTTCACAAAAACAATAACAAGTCTTTGGGGAACCAAATTCATAACTGATTATACAGCGAGCCTTCTATATCCATAGATCCATCCACCAGCATCTCCACAGTGCCTTTTTTCTTGTAATTGTTCCCTAAATATTAAATTTTGTGATCCACAGGGTCTTGAAACCAATCTCCCAAAGACAGAAAGAGACAAGTGTTTACATACACAACATCCAACTGACTTGTGGTGCTACCTAACAGTAAAACATGGGTACATAACCATGCTAAATCTCTTTTAGCAAAAGGAAAATTCATGAATTTCTTGGCTTTCTTTAGAAGCCAGCCAAAAGAACGCCTAATCACAAGGGAAATGCCAAGTGGTATGTGCTGTCCAGCAGCCAGCGCCTACCCCACAGCAACCGCCTTCACACAGCACTGGCTCACTATCTCCAGCTGCCTTCACTCTGATTTTATACATCAGTCTCCAAGGGCACTTCTGACAGAGAATGTTGGAAGACAAAAGGAACACATGATGCACTTTAAAAAGATCTTTCCACTCTCACAAGTGTATATCACATATCACATATTAACCAATCTCTGCTCTATACACTTTGCAGAGACACTGCAACGAAGCAGAGGCAGGACTTTTTTACAGTTGGACATGCAGGTAACTTCTGTCCACTATACCGGAAAGGTAAGAAATGGATCCTAGTACACCTAAAGCTGTAAAAAAAAAAAAAAAAAAGCACACAAGGGCTGACTGACATATTTAAAAGCATGACTAAATAGTTGAAATTTCTCATCAATAGCTGTGGGCTGGGAAGGTGGCTCAATGGTAGAGCGCTTGCTTTGCATGCATGAGGCCCTGGGTTCAATTCCTCAGCATCACAGAAGCAAAAAGAAAAAAGCCAGAAGTGGCGCTGTGGCTCAAGTGGTAGAACACTAGCCTTGAGCTGAAGAGCTGAGGGACAGCGCCCAGGCCCAGAGTTCAGGCCCCACGACTGGACCCAAATAAATAAATAACTGTAAGAACAGGATGTGGCTCTGAGAGAGAACCTGGGAGCGTGAGCACATCACCCAGGTGAGAGTCTCAGGGCTACTTTAGAACCCAGAGCCCAACAACACAGTGCAACAAGCAGGTTCTGGGAACATATAACTAAGGATCTGTAAAAAGGAATACTACTAGCCGGGCCTCCATGGCTCACATCTGTAATCCTAGCAACTTAGGAGGCTAAGATCTGACTATCATGATTTGAAGTCTGTGAGACTCTGATCTCCAATTACTGTAACCAGAAGTGGCTCAAGTGGTAAAGTACTAGCCTCGAGGATGAAAAAAAAATCTCAGGGACAGTGCCCAGGCCCTGAATTCAAGCCCCAGAAGCAGAAAAGGAAAGAAACAACACCCAAGATGGAGTGGAGGACCTGCCGCTGCCACTTACCCTTAGTGAACCCAGCTGCCAGTATGCAAGGGCAGCTGAGGGAAGGAGAGAGATTAAGAGACAAAGCCTAATGGAAAGACCACAAATCAGCCAATGAGTGGAAGGCAAGTCATTATCTCCAAACAAGGCTAACTTTGTATCCAAAACACTGACCTGCAACATCCAGGTGGAAGGAGACCTTCTGGCCCCCGGCCTCACAGCTGTACTCCCCGGTGTCCGCCTTGCCCGCCTGCTGCACCACCAGCCTCCGTGTGCAGCCCGACGCCTCCACGCGCACCTTCGAGCTGGAGCTCAGCTTCTTCCCGTCTTTGTACCAGGTCACCTCTGTCTGCGCCTGGGCAACCTCGCAGGTCAGTGTGGCGCTGGCCCCCGCCTCGGCCTTCACCTGGCTTTGAGCTGGCTGCTCCTTGGCAAACATCACCTTCGGCTCTAGAGACATGTAAGTCTAAATTAGGGTGGCCAAGTAGAGGGGGGAAAGATTTGGACAGTCTTGTGGCTCTGGATAGAACCTAGCTCCGCACCAGCTGTGTGCCCAGGTTAAGTCCTAACACTGCTCAGCACCTTCCTTATCCACCTAATAATATACATTCCCTGACCCCAATGGATGCCTGAAAAGCAAGTAACCCCAAATCCTATATATGCTGTCTTTCCCTATATATACACACCTATGATAAAGTTTGATGTATAAATCAGACACAGTAAGGAATTACAACAATAATAAGGACTAGAACAATTACAACTGGAACAGAACAATTACAACAATATTCATTAAAGTCTACAAGAAAAATAAGGCCCACAGGAGTATACTCTTAGGGAGGCACAATGTCCATGAGCCTCTGATCATATAAAAATAATATTTATCAAAATAAACTCTAGGGGCTGGGAAGGTGGCTCAGTGGTAGAGCACATGCCTTGCATGCCAGAGGCCCTGGGTTCGATTCCTCAGCACCACATAAGCAAAAAGAAAAAAGCCGGAAGTGGCGCTGTGGCTCAAGTGGTAGAGCGCTAGCCTTGAGCTGAAGAGCTGAGGGACAGCGCCCAGGCCCAGAGTTCAGGCCCCATGACTGGACCCAAAAAAAAATAAAATAAAAAAATAAACTCTAAGAAATGAGAACAAGAAGTTTTTCCTTTGTTGTTTTTGTTTTCTTTTCTTTTTGTCTTGCTTGTTCATTTATCCAACTTTGAGAGGGTAAGGGGGAACACAAAAATGGAAGGACAAAGGGTAGACAAACGTAGCAGTGGTACACACTAGACACCATGTTGAAAATGAACTATACAACTTGTGGGTGGAGACAAGAGGAAAAACTAGGAGAGCGAGGGAAAGGGTTATGTTGTCCAAAATGAAATATACTTATTACCTGATTTATTAAACTGTAACTACTCCATATAGCACCTTTGCAATAACTTAAAAAATTAAGAAAATTTTTAAAAAGAAAAATAAGCCAGGCGCCAGTGGCTCACGCCTATAATCCTAGCTACTCAGCAGGCTGAGATCTGAGGATCTCGGTTCAAGCCAGCCTAGGCAGGAAAGTCTGAGAGACTCTTATCTCCTGTGGCTCAAGCGGTAGAATGCTTGCCTTGAGCTGAAGAGCTGAGGGATAGCACTCATGCCCAAAGTTCAAGCCCCATGACCAACAAAAAAAAAAGAAGAAAGAAAGAAAAATAAAAAGGACTAACTGGAGTGAGTCACTGAAGTGCATGACTACGTAATGAAAAATGAGCAGGTGGCTACTCTGGCAGATGGAACAAGATGGCCTGAGAGTTTATCACACTACTCAGAACCACATGCTATTTAGAACTGATGAATTGCTTATTCATTTCTGGAATTTTCCATGAAATATTTTTGGATCATTTCTAGCATGGAAGCAAACCATGGAACATGAAACTGAATAAGGAGGATGACAGTAAGCATGATTGCTGACACATCCTGCCATGGTTCCATGGTGGAGTTTTTTTTTTCTTTTTCTTTTTGTATTAGCTTATATTGAATGTACAAAAATATCGGATTCCATTATGACATTTTCCTTTGTTCTTTTTTGATGTTACTAGTCAAGAGTTTGATTCAATTTTTTTTTTTTGGTCCGGTCGTGGGGCCTGAACTCTGGGCCTGGGCGCTGTCCCTCAGCTCTTCAGCTCAAGGCTAGCACTCTACCACTTGAGCCACAGCGCCATTTCCGGCTTTTTTCTTTTTGCTTATGTGCTGCTGAGGAATCGAACCCAGGGCCTCAGGCATGCAAGGCAAGCACTCTATCACTGAGCCACCTTCCCAGCCCTTGATTCAATTTTTAACAGTACTTTTTAAAAAATCAATACTGGGATTTAAACTCAGGGTCTAATGCTAGGCTAGCACTATGTCACTTGAGCCACATCTCCAGCTCTGTATTAGGGAAGTTATTTTTGGAAAAGTTGTTTAGCAAACTCTTGTCCAGGCTGCCCCTAAACCATGACTCTCTAGATCTCAACCCCCTGAGTAGTTAGGATTACAGGTATGAGCCACCAGTGCCTGGCTTTGTATTATTTTTTACAAACACTTTGAAGAACTTGACTAAGTAATCTAATCTTTTCATATCTAGCACTATAAAATAATTTGTCACATTTTCTTTAAATAACACTAACACATATATATATGAAAAAATTTAATTAAAAATACACATGGGATTTTAGCATCTGCAAACCTCCTCATTGCAATGATACAGAACCAGCGCATTTACTGCTAGCATGAGGAGTGTATGTAAGACTCTTGCTGTGGGTGTAGTTTGTGCACCAAGATTCACACTCTGCAAGCTCAAGGCCCACTGCACGAATATTCCCAGATAATGGGACTTTTACAAGGTGGAACCTGTATTGAGTGGGAAAAAGTAACTTCTAAAAGTCTATATATATATAGCACAGTAAGATAATTACAATTAACAACAATTGATTGCATATTCAAAATAGCTAGTGAAGAGGATTTTGAATATTCCCCACTCAAAGAAATCACAAATGTCTGAGGGTGATAGAAATACTCCTTGTCTGATCTGATCATTACGTACTGTATACATGTACTAGAATGTCACATGATACTCCAAAAGTATGTACAATTACTATGTGTCCATTTAAAATATATTTTAAAGCTGTGTACCAGTAGCTCACGGCTATAATCCTAGCTACTCAGAAAGCTAAGATCTGAGGATCATAGTTTAAAGCCAGCTCAGGCAGGAAAGTCCTTGAGACTCTTATCTCCAATACACTATTCAGAAAAAGGCAGAAGTGGCACTGTGGCTCCAGTGGTAGATCACTAGCCTTGAGCCAAAGAAGCTCAAGAACAGTGCCCAGGCCCAGAATTCAAGCTCCAGTGTGTGTATATATGTAAACATATATATGTTTTTATATACTATATATTTTATAAATATATGTATTTACATATATATATATATATATATATATATATATATATATATATATGGTCCTTGCATGCCATCTGAATTCCTCTCATATGTAATGCCATCTGCCATGGTGTGGTTCAGGCAGAACCGAGTCTACATTCTTCGGGCTTTCAGCATCTAGAACTAGAGCATGCATCTAGAGCTGAATAAAACATCTTTTCCTTATCAAGTATTCAGTGCCCAGTATTTTGAAAAACAAACTAATAAGACTCTCTTTTAAAAAATACATTTAGTTTCATACTCCCCAAGGAACCATCTAGGAAGGTACAGGCATAAATGATTACTGGGGAATGTCACAAAGTACACACTGCCATGTTAGCACTAGATACAGTATGGGGGGAGGGCAGGCATGGAGAGAATGCTAGATACTAAATGTTCTAACATTCAGTAGAGTGAATAATACCAAAATACATTGTGATACTAAAATAAAACTCACTGAAAGCTGTTGAAAAATAGGGGAAGGTGTAAAAGAAGTCAGTTTGATTAAAGGGTAGTATATGTATGTGTGAAATCCCAAGATGAAACGCCTTTGAATATCATGCACTAAAAAAATGGCAGAAATGTAAAAGGGGAGGGACAAGAAAGGTGAGGATAATGAGAGGAGAGTAAATATAATCAAAATAGTTTACATCCACATGTGAAAATGAAACTATGCAGCATGTTGAGATTGACTTGGAGGGAAGATGACAGAGGTAAGACTGGGCAAGGTACATTTACAAAGGGATATGTCCAAATCTCTCTCTCTCTCTCTCTCTCTCTCTCTCTCACACACACACACACACACACACACACACACACACACACTTGCTAATAAAAAGTATAAAAAACTAAGTGCTGGTGGCTCATACTTGTAATCCTGGCCGCTCAAGAGACTGAGATCTGAACACCAAGGTTTGATGCTAGCCCAAGTAGAAACATCTGAAATTCTTTTCTCCAAAGAACCAGCATCATAAAGCCGGGTGCTGGTGGCTCACGCCTATAATCCTAGCTACTCAGCATGTTGAGATCTGAGGATCACAGTTCAAAGCCAGCCTGGGCAGGAAAGTCCGTGAAACTCTTATCTCCAATAAACCAGAAAACCGGAAGTGGCACTGTGGCTCAAGTGCCCAGAGTTCAAGCCCCACGACAGACAAAAAAAGAAAGAAAAGAAAGAAACAGCATCTTTGAGCATCTTGGAGTGAGCTGTCTAAGGGTAGCACCCGGGACCTGAGTCAAAGCCCCACTACCAGCACTAAACTGCTGACTCCTTCCTAGGAGTAAAACATTCTAACTGAAGTTAAAAAAGAAAAGTAAGACCTTCCTTAAAAGGACAATTCTAAGCCTCAAAACTAAACATTTCTGCTGCTAGTTTACTGAGCATTGACATAACACAAGCATGGGTCTAGAAAACATCTATACCCACCCAAGAGAAGGGAAGAATACTGAAGAAGACTGACAACCCTAAAAATCCATAGATAAGTCTTGAGGCAACTCCATGTATTTGGTGGATGAAATCTTCCTTAATCCCAATCAAATGATATTCAAACATCTCTCACAAGTGAGGTAGAGCCGGGCGGAGCTGTGCAAGGGGAAGAGGATGACACCAGCCTCCAGCAGAAAGAAACTGACCTCCACGAGGTGAGACGGCCAGGCCACCTCACACCACAGAGTCTGAAGCAGTCAGAGTTAGACACAGACGGTCAAACCAGAAAGATGCTGGGCAGCTGGTGAGATTGTGTGACTGTGAACACCAATGGGGGTCCACAGAACAGAATGAGTCTTTCTCACAGGGCACCAATGGCTCATGCCTGTCATCCTAGCTATTAAGGAGGCTGAAATCTAAGGATTGAGGTTCAAAGCCAGCCCAGGCAGGAAAGTCTGTGAGACTCTTCTCTCCAATTAACCACCCAAAATGTGGAGCTGTGGCTCAAAGTGGTAGAGTGCTAGACTTGAGGAGGAAAAAAAAACAGCTCAGGGGCAATGCCCAGGCCCTGAGTTCAAAACCTATTACCAACCAAAAAAAAATGTTTTTCTCCCTCTCCCATCAGTTTCCCTTGGTCTAACACATCAGGAAAATGAGAGTTGGAAACTAGGAGATTAGAGATGAAGTCTAACAGAAAGAGCAGAAAGGCTATCATCATGGCAATCAGTCCACATCTTTATCACCTTCAAAAAAATGCCACAAGGAACTCACCTGCAACATCCAGGTGGAAGGAGACCTTCTGGCCCCCGGCCTCGCAGCTGTACTCCCCGGCATCCGCCTTGCCCGCCTGCTGCACCACCAGCCTCCGCGTGCAGCCCGACGCCTCCACGCGCACCTTCGAGCTGGAGCTCAGCTTCTTCCCGTCCTTGTACCAGGTCACCTCCATCTGCGCCTGGGCCACCTCGCAGCTCAGTGTGGCGCTGGCCCCCGCCTCAGCCTTCACCTCATTATGTGCCTGCTGCTCCTTGGTGAATATCACCTTGGGCTCTGGGGACAGGAGGGTCACGTTATCAGATACAACGTTGGTACCAACAGAGATCGAAACTTCAGGGTCCCATAAATTGTATCCCTGAGGTCAATGACATTGTATGTCCCAGTTTGTGTTCACAGACATGGATGTGTGTTCACAAACACAGTGTTTCCTGTCTCAGAGACTCAGGTGTACATCTTGAGGATATTCTGACTTGAGAAGAATTCGGAGACTGGCGGGAGGAGCCTGGTGATAGCCTAGCAACTGTACCTATGAGTTTTCTGTTTCTGCCACATGACTGTCAGCTCTGCATGTCAGGTCCTGGTTATGTAAAACTGTTTCTCTACAGCTGGCACACAATATAGATTTCACACAGTTATCCTATGTATTACCTTGGTATAACTAGCACATAAAGTATGCAAATGCACAGTCCATGAACCTCTTTAATTAAACAAAATGTGTCAACAAAAAGAATATCCCTAGGTCCTGCCCATATGGAGCAGCCCCCAAAGCAGCCACTATTCTGACCTCTATCATCCACAACCACTTTTGCTTTGTCTTGTGACTTCACATAAATGAAACTAGTCACACATTGTACAGTGATATGCCAGTCAATGACAGATCCTAAGATTCTAACAACCAACATCAATGAAGGGCCTACTAGGTACAGGCAACCACGGCTGAAGCTGGTAGCTACAAGCCAACATGTGTGTACAATGAAAATGAGAAAGCAATGCTTTCAGACAGAATGCAGAGCAGCATGAGGTGTCGACTGGCACCTTAGACTCAGTGGACAGGGAGAGCATGGGTGATGGTAGAGAAACAGTCAGTGTGATAAACACCGAAGGAAAGTCTAACAGAGACAAGGGTCTCCTATATGGACAGGCCTGGAGAAGAGCCATGTGCCTCGCAGCAGAAAGAGTTCTGGAAGAATGTAAGACTTCCTGGCTTCAAGGAGGGAAAGTCACAGGTAATCTTCTCATCTTTGCTGAATATGGCAGGACAGTGAGATCCAGACATAGAAACAAGGAAAACGATGTTACACACAGATCACTGTTGACACTATGCTGTAGAAAGAGATGAAAGTTGAGACTGAAGAGCCAAATCACCAATGGACACTATCCCATAGTGTGACACTGAATCTCAAGCACGGGCATTTCCTTTCCCAGACCTTTGGTGGGCTGTGAAGCTGCATGGAGCAGGAGGCTACAAAGCTGTCTAAGTCTGTTTTGTGTTATTGTAATGAAATGCCTGAGGCTAAAAGGATACATTTAGCTCACCGTTTCAGAAGTTCAAGAGGACAGCCCTCACAGAGGCTCAGCTCCAGCGAGGATGCCACAGCAATTGGCACCACGGTGGGAAGAACGTGTGTGGAAGAGAGGCTCCAGAGGTGCCAGACTTACTAATGACAACCCAGTGTCTTGGGAACTAATTTAGTCCCTCAAGAGCTAATCCACCCTATTAATCTACTCATGAGGTAGAGTTCCCATTCCCCCAAAACCACCACACCAAGCTGGGTGCTGGTGGCTCACCTCTGTAATCCTAGCTACTCAGGAGATGAGATCTGAGGATCATGGTTCAAAGCCAGCCCAGGCAGGAAAGTCTGCAGAACTCTTATCACCAATAAACCACCAGAAAACTAGGACTGGTGCTGTGGCTCAAGGGGTAGAGTGCTCGCCTTGAGCTGAAGAGCTGAGGGACAGCACACTGGCCCGGAGTTCAAGCCCTAACAACAACAAAAAAAAAACACCAGGGACCAAGCTCAACTATATAAACCTCAACAGGGACACACATCCAAACCAAACCACAGCAGAAGTCAAGCAAACCTCACATGACTGAAGAGACAAGAAAGCTGAAGCCTGGCTAAGAAGGAGCCACACAACACCCCAAGGCTCTGTGGGATCCTTGGAGGGCTGTGGTCAGAACCAATCCCTGGAGGACTGTGATCAGAATCAAATGTAATGGCTAGAGTCAAGATATCCTTTTTTTTTATATTGTGAAAATACTGTACAGAGGGGAGGATATCCTTTGAATGAGTCTAAGTACTTAGCTGTGTGTGAGCAGTGTCATTTTCAGTACAAAATATAGAATCCACAAACTCTATGGAAAATTAATCAGAAATTTTAAACTTGAAAATGCAGTAACTGAAAGTAAACTCAACTTCAAGGAGATTAACATTGTATTAGATGTAGTAGAACATAAGACTGATGAACTGGAAGACAGGTCAAAAGAAAATACAAAAATTAAAGCAGAGAGAAGGGCTGGGAAGATGGCTCAGTGGTAGAGCGCGTGCCTTGCATGCCTGAGGCCCTGGGTTCGATTCCTCAGCACCACATAAGCAAAAAGAAAAAAGCCGGAAGTGGCGCTGTGGCTCAAGTGGTAGAGCGCTAGCCTTGAGCTGAAGAGCTGAGGGACAGCGCCCAGGCCCAGAGTTCAGGCCCCACAACCGGGCCCCCAGAAAAAAAATTAAAGCAGAGAGAAAAAGGATTCTGAAGCAGAAAAGGGGCTGTATAATACAGGTGAGAAAATATAAAAATGTCTAACAGCGCAATGGAAGTCCTAAAAGAAGATTGACCAGACAGAAGAAGCAAAAGTCAAGACTGTCCACAACTAATAAAATGTCATAATCACAACAACTCAAGATGCTCTAGACTCCAACCAGAATGAACATGAAACAAGGCACACAAAGTCACCACAGTAGCACTGCTGAAAGCCAACTTTAGGGAAAACAGTTAAAAGCAACATGATGAAGAAAAGACGTGACTCTTAAAGGAACCATAACAAGTCAATAGTTGGTATTTCAAAATATAAAATTAAAGGTAATATAATTAAGTCCCTAAAATGTCAGGAAAATAGCTGCTAAACTATAAGTTAATTCCTAGAGAAAATAGCACTTGACATTAAAAGTGAGATAAATGTTTTCAAACAAGCAGAAATCAAGAGGATGTGGATCAGTGGCAGAACTGCTAAAATACTGAAGCCAGTGATCTTCAAATAGAAAAGGGGGAGGAAGAAGGGAGAAGAGGAGTAAGGAGAAATGGGAAGGTGAGGAGGAGGAAGAGGAAGGGGAGGAGAAGGAGTAGGAGAGAGGAGGGGGAGGTGGAAAAAGGGAGAGGAAGAGGAGGAGGAGGAAGAGGAGGAGAGGAGGAAGAGAGGAGGAAGAGGAAAGGAGGAGAGGAGGAAGAGGAAAGGAGGAGAGGAGGAAGAGGAAAGGAGGAGAGGAGGAAGAGGAAAGGAGGAGGAGAGGAGGAAGAGGAAAGGAGGAGGAGGAAGAAGAAAAGAGGAGGAAGAGGAAAGGAGGAGAGGAGGAAGAGGAAAGGAGGAGGAGGAAGAGGAAAGGAGGAGGAGAGAAGGAAAAGGAGAAGAGGAGGAGGAAGAGGAGGAAGAGAGGAGGAAGAGGAAAGGAGGAGGAGGAAGAGGAAAGGAGGAAGAAGAGGAAAGGAGGAAAGGAGGAAGAGGAAAGGAGGAGGAGAGGAAGAAGAGGAAAGGAGGAGGAAAGAAGGAGAAGGAGAGAAGGAAAAGGAGAAGAGGAGGGGGAAGAGGAGAGGGAGGAGGAGGAAGAGGAAGAGAGGGAAGAGGAAAGGAGGAGGAAAGAAGGAGAAGGAGAGGGAAGAAGAGGAGAGGAGGGGGAGGAGGGGGAGAAAGGGAGAAAGAGAAGGAAAAGAAGGAGAGGAGAAGGAAAAGGAAGAGAGGAGGGGGAAGAGGAGAAGGAGGAGGAGAGGGAAGAGGAGGAAGAAGAGCACAAGGAGGAAGAGGAAGAGAAGGGGAGGAGGTAGTGGAGAGGAGGAAGAGGAAATGAGGAAGAGAGGAGGAGGAAGAGGAGGAGGAAGAAAGGAGGAAGAAGAAAAGAAGAGGAAGAGGAGAAGAAGAGGAGAGGAGCAGAGGAGGAGCAGAGAGGAGGAGGAGGAGCAGAGGAGGAGCAGAGGGGAGGAGGAGGAGCAGAGGAGGAGCAGAGGAGGAGCAGAGGGGAGGAGGAGGAGCAGAGGAGGAGCAGAGTGGAGGAGGAGGAGCAGAGGAGGAGCAGAGGAGGGGAGGAGGAGGAGCAGAGGAGGAGCAGAGGAGGGGAGGAGGAGGAGCAGAGGGGAGGAGGAGGAGCAGGGGAGGAGCAGAGGGGAGGAGGAGGAGCAGAGGAGGAACAGAGGGGAGGAGGAGGAACAGAGGAGGAGCAGAGGGGAGGAGGAGGAACAGAGGAGGAGCAGAGGGGAGGAGGAGGAGCAGAGGAGGAGCAGAGGGGAGGAGGAGGAGCAGAGGAGGAGCAGAGGGGAGGAGGAGGAACAGAGGAGGAGCAGAGGAGGCAGCAGCAACAACACTGAGCCCAAACCCTGGCTGCCTCTACAACTTCCTGGCTGAGTAAATCCTGGCGGGTTACCAAAGGTTAAGTAAAAAGACTAGAAGCACTTTACAAAATCTAAGCAATTCAAATATAATAATAATGTAAAAAATTACCAGTTCCCTATCCTAAGGAAAATCAAAAAATCTCAAGACACCCACCTGTGACAGCCAGGTGGAAGGAGACCTTCTGGCCCCCGGCCTCACAGCTGTACTCCCCGGCGTCCGCCTTGCCCGCCTGCTGCACCACCAGCCTCCGCGTGCAGCCCGACGCCTCCACGCGCACCTTCGAGCTGGAGCTCAGCTTCTTCCCGTCCTTGTACCAGGTCACCTCCGTCTG